TTAATAGATACCTTTCTATCTCTAAATACTCTCTATATAATACGGCTTATATATTATAATTAAGTTTGCCCTTATTTAGATAAAGATTATTCTAATTCCTAATAATTATATAGAGTCCTATAATCTAATCTCGTTTATTTTTTTATTAGTAAAAACTAAAAGCAATTCTTAATTTACTAGGTATTAGAAAATTCTTTTCTAAGAAAGACCCTTAAGCTAGTAATAATTAAGAGTATTAATAAAGAAGTCTTTAGTCGTTACTATAAGTTTATATACTCTAGGGATTACTCTACCCTATATCCCGTTCTATAATCTTCTAGGAATAGTACTCTATAGCTAGAAAATAGGAAAACGTAATACTAGAAAAAGGCGAGTAGATAGGATTCTTCTAGCCTAAATTAAAATCTCTTTTACCTAAAAGGGCTTTTACTTAATTATAATATCCTACTAGTAGAATTTAGCTATATATTACGATTAGGATCTAAGAAGGACTTAAGTAATAACCCTTTTATAAGTTATATAGTAGTATTTCTAAGTTACGCTAAAATTTATTATTTTAGAATTAGAATAAGGTAGCTTTCTCTTATTCTCCTATCTTTCTATTAGTTACTACGATTATTTAAGAATTTTACTCTAATTAAAGAACGAACGGGAGATATTATTTAGCTATTAGTATTTATTTTTAAAGATAATAAGTATATAAAGAATTTAGAAGTTATACTATAAGACTATATAGTCTAGAATATAGAGATTTTAATATAGAATACCGACTTTAAAAGATTCCTAGGGCGAAACTTATCGTTAGAATAGACCGTCTTTCGTTTAATATAGAAATAAAGGTAAGCTTATAAATTAAATATACTATAATCTCTATACTATCTTCCGTATATATAGAGGTTAGATTAAAATTAATAACTAATATACGTTAATATAGTTAGTTATAGTTAGCTAATAGTTTTAGTATATTAGCCTAAAAGGCGTAGCCCCCCTAAAGAACCTTATAGTTAAACTATCCCTTTTTACGCGAAGGAGTAAATTAAATAAGTTAGTTTAATAGCTTACTATAAGCCCTTTTAAAGAGCTTAAATCTTAAGTAAGCCTAAATAAAAGATCCCTTTAAAATTTTATCTTCGGAATATTTAACCTTTAAGAAAATTATAGGGCGTAAATTTTAAGAGGTAATATAATTTAAAAGATTATAAAATCTATAGCCCGAAATTTTCGAGCCCTAAGAATATTCTATTATCCTAAATATTATATACCGATAATTTTCGACTCTAGCGGTATTAACCGGATATAAGAAATTAGCGTAATAATTATAAGGTATAAAAGCGTAATATAGATAAGATATATAAGGTATATAAGTATACCCGTCTTCTATAATATAGATATATCTATTCCCTTATTATAATATTTAAATCTTTAAGTTTAACTATCTTATATTATCTAGCTACCTTACGAAATTATAAGAAAACTAGAATATTCTATTAATTTCGAACTAACTATAAGATATAGAGTAATAATCTTAATCTATTAGACGACGTTAATATCGATAAGAAAGTTAAAAATAACCTAAGGGTCTACGACTAATATAGTCTTAATCTTTATCCTCTAATTATATATTATAGACTTTATAGTATTTATAAACTATAATCGTTCTTAAGCTAATAAGAGAGGATTTTAAGTAAAATTACTAAGTAAGCGTCGACTTTAAATTTAGTCTTAAGTAGAAAATATATATATATCTATCCTATAAATAGAAAGTATTTAATAAACCCCGAAAATTCTTTTCTATATATAGGGTATAGATCTCGATTAAGCCGTTCTTTATATACCTTATAAATTAAATACCTATATACCTATATATACTAACGATCCGGCTACTTATAGTAAATATTATAGTTTAGAATACGTATTCGAGAAAGCTCCTTTTAATACTAGTCTTTCTATAGGAGAAGTTTACTCTAAAGTTCCTCTTAATACTACTCTTCCTATAGGAGAAGCTTACCCTAAAGTTCCTAGACTTACTTTTATAGCTTTTTAACTTTTTAATCGAGACTTTTAACTTCTTTATTAAGTATCTTATATAGCTTCTTAAAATAGGTATCCTAGTTTATTATTAGCTTAGGAAATTAGAGCGTCTTAGAAAAGCTATACTAGAGTATTACGTTATTTTCCTTTAGCCCTTTTATATTTATATAATAGTTCTATTTTACTACTTATAGTATCGGTTAGTTCGATTAGGATCCTAAAAGATATATATAGAGATCTTTTTTAGACTTATAAATCGGTTAGCCGCTAGCTTAGGGGTAGTTTATTATCTTTAATAATAATCGTACTTAACGGACTAGTTATTATAGCTTAAAAAAAAGAGAGATATATCTAGATATTAGGTAGACTAGATAGGAGGAAAGTAGAAGTCTAATTAAGCTAGAGTTAGGGTATAAAGCTTATTATATACCTAAGAGCTAATAGTTCGAGTAGGCTACTATTAAGAGACGATTAGATACTACTTTATATAATTTATCGTATATATATATATAACCCGATTAGATTATATAAAACTAAGATAGTATATATAAAGTATTAAGTACTATAAAGTACTTTATTATCCTAACTATAATAAAGAGCTATTACTAATTCGGAAACTATCCTATACTCGTTCTCCTCGCTCGGGGGATTCGTATAGAACCTCTCTAGTCTATATTCTCGCTAGATATAGTAAATACGATTCTATTCTAAATTAGAAGTAAATAGATACCGAGTTAATAGCTTCGTTAATTTATAGCTAGCCTATTCTTATTTTTAAAGGCCCTATATCGAATTCGGGTATCGCTAGCGACTCTTATAGGGCTTAGAACTAAGGCTTTATAGCTAGCTTTATAGTACTCGATATCTATCCTAGAACTATACGAGTAAGCGGCCGAGAGTAAATCTACGACGCTAAAGGCTATATAATATAACCTTAGGTAGGGGCCTAAGATAGGGCGGATAAAGCGGAGTATATAGTATTAAGAAGACTTCGTAATAAGGGGGGTTAGCGTAATAATAGATACTTAATAGAAAGGCCTTACTAGTAGAAAGTAAGCGATCTAGATAGAATTATAGATATCTTTACCTCTTTTATTTTTACCGGAGATACTACTCGATCCGACTCCCTAGCCGTTCTAACTAGCGTAGGCTCTAATACTATCTAGTCGCTTAGGGGTAGAAACACTAGGGTAATCTAGCTATCTACTATATCGTATAACTATATATTAATACTTTATTTTCTAGTACGTCGGGCTAAAAGCAAATATATAGTAGTCGGTAGGGGCTAGAGTAAAAGAAAGGGGGCGGCGATAAGTGAAATATAGAGAGGCAGAAAAATAGAAAAGTGAGAGAAAGGGAGGAAGAGTAAGTAAAGACGGGTCTTTTATGTCGGCGGGCATTGAAGGTAGGGTTACGTGACGGTATATTAGGGGCGCTAAACCCAAAAAGGAAAAACTAACCCGATATAGTAATTCATAGGACCGCCGTTTACATCTAGAATATAGGGACCTGTGAAATCGACGCCGAAAATGACAACCTCTGGCGCCAGAAACGGCCGCCTTTCCACCCGTAACTTTGGACAGCGAGCCGTTGCTTGACCGCCTGCTCCATTTTACTGGCCCCTATTCTGTACCCAACCAGCACCGTTAGTTATTATCCTCTTGTCCAGCTGTTGACGCTCGACTTCAATGATTGTTCCCCCTATTTCCACTGGCGACCAAACGGCGCCGAAAATGGCTCCCCTCTGCATCCTAATTTAGGGCCCCCTCCTTCTCGGCCAGCCTAATCGAGCGCCTATAAGATACCTTATCCGCCCTCTCTTCCGGGGTCTTTTGATACCCTTTATCCCCATCCCGCTGCCTTGATCGCCCTTAATATACTTGTTCTAAGGTCATTTATCAAAGAATTTAAACCTTTGCCTCCGTATCCGTGTTCACTTTATAGCGCCTATATTGCTCCTAGACCTTTGCCAACTCCTATGGGAGTCGTAGTCTATTGGTAGGTGGCTAGAAATACGCGATTTCAAATGGGGTGACCCGATCGGCTAGGAACTACGTTAGTTAAGTTAACTAACTTAACGTATTTCATATGCGAGCTGGACACACAAGCGAGCTGGACACAAATGCGATAAATTACAACATAGTATCACAACAATCATAGGTTATAGGGACTTATCCTTATAAAAGAATACTTTTTAGGTGGCATCTAGTCTCTAGGAAGAGTTTAATGAATTTCTATCCCTTAATAATTGAGAGATATATATATTTCTAGCTCCTGGCAACGTAATTTTCGATACCGCAGCTTTGTAGATTTTAGATCTCTTCGAAATTAATATACAGTGTTCAAAATCCTTATCAATGGTTATCGGCAGGCAATAAAATAAAATAAAACCGTGGTTGTTGAGATATCAGTGTAGAATATATCGCATTTACTATGGTGTTTTGGGGTGTCCAGCTCGCTTGTGTGTCCAGCTCGCATGTGAAATACGTTAGTTAAATTGCCAGCTAGGGGCATTATAACAATTCAGACTGGTTGATTTCCAATTGGTCCACGGGTGCGTAGTAAGATTTACTAAGCAGTATTTCCTCCCGAGGTCAGTCGCCACCCACCGCCGTTCCGGACAAACAATCTTCTTAAACAGTCCTAATCAATTGCGTGTCCCTTCCAGAAGGCCGAGCCTTCGCTATCTCGTTCCTTGTCCAGCATTAAGCTTGAGAGACCCAACACGTAGCGGTTGAAAGCAAGGCCACTCTACAGTTATTGTCGGTGCACATAATCACCTGGATTCAGTCGCAGTCAGCTTCATGACCCTATATACAGTAAGAGAGCAGCAACAGGAGGGAAAGCAAACAAAGCCGAGGAAACAAAAATAGTAAGACAGGCAATAGAGCTCCTTGAACTTATACTCCCTTTTAGATCCGCCTCGGACCACGGCCGTTGCTCGTCCCTTCTTAACTTCAGTAAAAGATTTACCTCTCCCGAAGGCTGGTGTATAACCCGTTCCATTGCTTGCACTCAATTCTCACTGCGATACCGTGAGCTGTGAGGCAGAACGTCCCGTCCGCCGGGAGGGCATATGTCATATCCCTCTCTAGTTCCACCACGTCCACCATTAGAGACCCAGTAGGAAATTTTATGATCTGCTCGACGTCCGTTCTTTCAATAGAGAGCGAAAGACCCCTTGTTATGGATTCGGAAGTCGAACTTCCTTCCATCTCGAGGTGGATATGTAGAGGGCCAGCCAGGAAGAACGGCGATGGCGCCGTCGGAGTTATGATGCCAGTCAACCGGTCGCTGGGCGCTAGAACACAGCCACTGAATACTTTAGAATCCCCAGGCGGATTTGCAGTTGAGACCGCTGTTTCCACGGTTCTGGAGCCTGGAGAGACACCAGAAAGCGACACCGCTCCCGTAGTGATTTCGACCGGATCTTGTACAGCGCTCATTGTCGACGCCGAGACCAACATAGGAAGTAAGGTACTTTCATTCGGGTAGGGGTGAGCACCCATTTGACCTTTGTCTCGAGCTCTGATAGTCTGTCGAGCGTGGTCCACTAGGATTTCATTGAATCGGTGCTCCAGCGTCGTGAAAGACAAAAGCTTTGGCAGACGCCAACCAGGGTACAATCTTCCATGTGTGCGTGATGTGTGCATCTTGTCATGATTTTGGATGAATGCATGGCACAAGAAACAAGCATCCTTGCTGGAAGCGATGGCACGCGGGAACAGCGGAGGCGATTGAATTTCGCAGTAGGCGATTAGCTGGATCTCCGCATGGATCTTGGCTTCTTGGAGAATTCTATTCGTTTGCTCAGAGAACTGGTAATTCGGATTCTTGGTCTTGCCATTTTTCATGAATCGGGAGATCTGGGAGATATTATACTGTTTACCATTGATCTTCCCCAAACGAGACAGCACGGCTGGAAGACTCGGCGAGTACGTCGGGTGATGGGGTCGATCGAAAGCCTCTTGGGGAAGGGTTGCTAGTTGAATCTCAATGTTCCGGACAAGAGGAAACTTCTTAGCAATGCGATGAAGCACCTGAGCGGCTTCTTTATATCTGGATACTTTTCGAATGATGTTGAGCAGAGTAGCTGTGAAGGCTGCCTCCTTGATCACCTTTGTGGGACCAGAGGGAATCAGATGGAGGAGTTGCTGCAAGCCATGTATGTTGTTTAATCGATACATCTTTTCCACAATGTAATTGAGACGATGCGAAACACGATGATTGGACCATGCGTTGACGGACTGGATCACGCTTTTGGATTCTGCTCTGAATATCGACAGGCTTTCTTCTAGGTTGAACTGAATTAGCTTCTGGGGAAGTATTTGCCGAGTGCCTTCTGTTGCTTTTTGCAGAATGTCTTTGATGGACGCTTTGGAGTCTTCCCATTTTTTGCCAGTGAGCCGCAATCTAGAAGCGATTCGAGAAGAGCACATTTGCACAATCATCTCTAGAAGTTGTTTCGTGATCTCCGTGGAGCTGCCTCGTTCTGGCTAAATTCGAATCAGACGCTACAACAAATGGCAGAGACTAACGAACCATATAGTGATTTTTTGAGTACTTGAAAAATGTTCTCAAATCCAGTTTTCAAACTTTGAAGTAAGCCATCCCCATCTGAATATGTTTTTTTATTGATCGCCAGCAGAGACTTCATTGCTGCACCATTGGGGTCCTGCTCGACACACATGGCAGGGATATAATCCGATCCATCTTTAGTTTTGGCAAGAAAGGAGAGGACCTCCACAAGTTCCTTTTCTTTAGAGAAGGAAAGTATGTACTGCTTTTCAGAGCCTCGAAAACGTTCGGTGGGCTTTTGTTGCGGTGGCTCAGGAACTTCATGCAGCAAGTAATTGAGAGCAATATTCTCCGCACAAACCACTGCAGCAATATGCGGTTCACAGCTCATTGTGCGAGTCCCAAAGTGATATGAGAGACCAAAAGAAAGGCACTCTTGAGACTAGATGAGATCTTAATATACTTTAGTAGGATGGATATGCGGACCTCCACTGTCGTTCGGCGCAGGCGCCTTACCTGTTTGTAGTGTAAGCAGCAGGGGTCTCTGCCCGCCTTATGCAGAGCCCAATGGGAACGAATCCCTGCTGATTATGAGCGGTCCGATTGGCAAGGTACTTCCGTATCACCCTCCCTTTTTGTCTTGGCGGTACGTCTAGATTTTCCTGTAGCGTAGGTGTAAAACGGCTCTTGAAAAAGAATTTCCTTGGCGCTTAAGAGGCGATAGTTCAGGGGCTACATCAGAATTGTATAATGGCAAATGGCGATCAGATATAGTATGCACTCTAGATCAGATTCGTGTATGAGGGTAGCTTGTTCAGCTGCCTTATGGTGAGGCTACGGACGACGTACATGTGACTCGCCTCGCCTGGGATGCTCGACGCTGATTTGACTAGATCTGAAAAGCCCGTGGGCGCTTAGGCGCTGATGAGATTTGCACTGCTTTGTATGGCCGCTACAACCACTCCCTCTTGTCCTAACTGACGACCCTCAAACATCATACCTACCTCTTCTTGTCACAACACCGACTCTACCACAAAAGCCGACCGAAAATCTGCGTTTGCTTTCACTATGTCCGAAAGGCCGCGTCGACGTGTATTACTGCATGATTATACGGTCGCGTGGATATGTGCATTGCCGATAGAGTTGGCGGCTGCGAAATGTTTGCTCGATCACCTTCACAATTCGCTTCCTAAACCTGAGACTGACCACAATATCTACACGCTTGGGAGTCTGAGTGGACATAATATAGTGGTCGTCTGCTTACCGTCCGGTGTTTATGGGACAACTTCTGCTACATCCGTGGTGACTCAACTGAAGCAAACCTTCCCTTCCGTAAAGTTCGGGTTGATGGTCGGAGTGGGAGGGGAGTACCTACCAAGAATGTTGATATTCGTCTAGGAGATGTGGTCGTTAGCACACCTATGGGAACATCTGGTGGCGTGGTCCAGTACGACTATGGGAAAGCGTCTCAGCAGGGCCGCTTCCAGCGCACGGGATCACTCAATAAGCCACATGTGTCTCTGCTGGCCGCTCTCTCCCAGATACGTTGCGACCATATGCTGCAGAAGTTGCCGCTTGGCAAGATAATGTCTGGTGTTTTGCGGCGTCACCAGAAGCAATTTTCCCCTCCAGGCGAAGACTGGCTGTTTCTCTCGGCATACGAACACCGAGGAGGCAGTGGAGACTGCTCGTTATGTGACAAAAACCAGCTTGTCTCGCGTGAATCACGCATGAATGGCGAACCACAAATTCATTATGGTCTGATTGCGTCTGGCAATCAAGTTATAAAGGATGCTGTGATGCGAGACTCTATTGCAGAAGATATTCCTGTACTCTGTTTCGAGATGGAAGCAGCCGGACTCATGGATCAGCTTCAATGTCTGGTCATACGAGGAATCTGCGACTACTGCGACTCCCATAAGCACAAAGGGTGGCAGGGCTATGCAGCTCTTACTGCAGCTGCGTATGCGAAGGCACTATTATCATTTCTTCCACAAGTGAAAGACATGAAGAAGTCAGATCAAGGTATGTGATCATCACCTTGCAGTATCCCCATCAACTGATCATCTTATAGAAGCCGATTTTGGGGAGGTGGAAAAAACTTGTCTCGCAAATCTGTTCATCACCGATCCTAATGAAGATATGAACTCAATAAAACGGACAAAAGGGGATCGTACTCCAGGAACTTGCAGCTGGTTTTTAGAGTCAGACAAACTCAAGTCTTGGTTTCAGCGAGACAAGGGCAATGATGAGCTGGAGCGAAACATTTTGTGGCTGTATGGTAACCCCGGAATTGGCAAGTCGACGATGGCCGTGACACTTGTGGAGGAAATACCGCATAGTTATTATTTTGCCGACGGGAATAATGTCCTAGCTTGCTTTTTTTGCGAAGCTGACTCGGAACGCCGGAGAGAGGCAACGTCGATACTGAGAGGTCTTATATATCAGATCATTACTCAGCACCCCCCAGTCTTGAAACGGGTCTTGTCAAAATATCACGTTCGAGGAGACGCACTTTTCGCCTCATTTGATTCCTTGTGGGCGTTGCTTATGGATATTGGACAAGCAACTACTAGCCCTGAGATATACTGCATCATCGATGCATTGGACGAATGCGACCGCAAGTCACAGCAAACCTTGTCTCATCAAATTTCCCAGTCGTTCAGCAAAGCAGGCACGACCCGCTTAGACACACCCAGGTTGCACTTTTTAATTATCAGCCGTCCGAATCACGAGCTCAAGAGTTACCTATCGTCCTTCACCTATGTTGATCTAGGCTCATTTGAAGAGGTAAAGAAGGATCTTCAATCTATGATCAAGGATACAGTGAAGGACCTCGCGAGAAGGAACGACTACACTGATCCCGTTGCCCAGAAAGTACGCCAAATTCTTGAAGAGAAGGCCGAGGGTACCTTCCTCTGGGTCGGGATAGCTCATAATGAATTGATATCGGTGCAGTCGAGGAAAGTAGTCCAGAAGCTACAGGATCTTCCAGGAGGGTTATACAAATTGTATCGGAAGCTGCTGCTCGATGCAGCAACATGCGGCCCAGACGATTACCCGCTGATTAAAAAGATTTTGGAGACTGTTGCATTCGCATTGCGACCACTCACAATAGGGGAAGTAGCTGAAGCATGTCGCCTACATCTTGACACAGATTCTAGTAGTCGCCTCCAATTCACGCGAGAGATCATCGACTTGTGCCATTTGTTGGTTGTTGTTGACAATGACCATGTGCGAATGTTGCACAGATCGGTGCAAGAATTCTTAATGATGGAGATGCAAGAGATCAATTCTTCTGCAGCAAACTATACACTGACGTATCGCTGCATCGAAGTCATTCTTCAACATTGCCGGCCAAAAATAAATACATCAACTTTGAAGCCTAGCCATGGATTCCTTGGTTATTCAGTGCTGCACTGGCCAGAGCATGCAAGGTTAGCTCAAACAGACTTCGACATTCCGAAGGAGCACGAGGCATTTTTTCAAGGCCGATTAGCGACGTGGAAATGGTGGCTCAGAGAGTTACAACCACCTGGAACAATTCTCAGGGGCTGATTTGGACACGGGCATCTCTGCCATTCATGTTGCCGCTCGTTGGGGAATTATTCCGTTAATCTCGTCCTTCCCTCAGCATGGACTGGAAGTCAAAGATGCACAGGGACAAACACCTTTGCTCATTGCTGCCCAATACTCCCAGTTTGAAGCCGTAAAACTTCTAGTTGAGTCTGGAGCATGCGTGAGAGCGGTAAATAACGACCACCAAAACGTCCTCCATACTATTTGCAAGAATGGTCATGGAAGTGGCTGCAAAATTGTCAATTTCCTGCTTGACGCTGGAGTCCCTCCATATGACTGTGATAAGTACAACATGACACCATTCCTTTACGCAGTTGGAAACCTCGATGAAGAACTTGCACAAGTCTTTCTTCAGAGGAGTCTCGATCTGACAGTCAAAATTCGAAGACTATCATGGCCTGGACGCACAACTGTGAGCATGTTCACACACAGGAGGTTCAAGGACGAGAGAGAAAGTGCTGGCGTGAGTCTAGAATCCGGCCTCACAGCGCTACATTTCTCTTCCTTGAACGCATGCACAAAGATGACCGCCTTTTTACTCCAACACGGGGCCGATCCAAATGCTCAATCTGATATTGGCGATACTCCACTCCATCTTGCGATCAGGAGCCGCATCCTGGGCCGTGAATACGACGACGTATGGAAGAGCGGTGATTACACCATCGAGGCCTTAAGAGACTTGATCACGGACTACGAAAATGAGGAAGCTTCTGATATCTATCGAGCCATCGATCAAGCTAGAACACACATTGTTGACACGCTCCTCGCGAGCGAAACCATTGACGTCAACATCGCTAATGCTAATGGGGATTGCCCTCAGCACTTGATAGACTTTAGCAAGCATTATTCGCTGTCGATTCTATGCAACCTCATAGAGAAAGGAGCAGTTAGCTCACGATTGAACGGGTGTCATCAGACATGTCTCCACCTTGCCAGCAAGCAAGGGAACGTGGAGGTGGTCCAAAAACTTGTGGATGAAGGCCACGATATCTTGTTGGAAGACCGCGACGGATTGAGCCCGTTCCACTACGCATTGCGCGATAGTCGCTTAAATGTCCTGCATTGTCTGACAACAGCATGTGACGGCGCGCTTTCGAAGCTCTGGTACTCGATAGATCATCACGGCAGAAATCCATTACACCATCATGTCTCGTCCATCTTCTCCAACTTCAACATGGTTGACTTCCTGATACGGATTGGCTGCGACGTCAATCAGTATGATGCGAAGGGAATCTCATCCCTTGGCCTGTACGTGGGATCATTTCACCTAAGAGTTCAGAGAGACATATTCTTTCTACTGATGAATAACGGTGCTGATCTACGGTGGGTTAATGGATGTGGAGAAAATTTGGCCCACCTCCTCATGCACCATAAGGGAGCAGACACTGAGATTCTCGAGCATCTATTTAATGATGGCCCAGATCCAGCAGCTCAAGATTATAACGGGAGGACCTTCATGCACCACGGGGCCATTCATGGTGCGTTTACCAAGGAGCTTGTAGAGTTCCTTCAACGGAAAGACTTCTTGGATATGCATTCCAAAGATTCACTTGGCGAGACACCCCTTAACTATGCGAAAGAAAAGGCGCGTAGAGAAGACTTGGAAGACGTCCTCTTTGATATAAAGTGGGACGATTCCTTCGACGCTCTGTACAGGGGCTTTACATCTGCCCCAAGGGCGCCATGCTCAAGTAAGGGCAGCATTGGATGATGACAATCGTGCCATTTCGGAACTACTTCGATGTTAGCCCTCAATGCGCTCGTCATTTAAGCGTACCGGGAGCTTTGTCAAAATACTCGGGGATCTCGAAGAGACCAATTCCATCACTATCTAGTGGATCGTCCTAGAATTCACCTAGGTCGTTGGAAGGTCCCTAAGGCAGAGCAGTTCTCGTCCAAACGAAGACGTTTTCGGGAGCTCAGGGCATCGTCCGGCTCCGTCAGATCCGCCTTATAAGTAGGATCGCCCCACTCGTCCGAGCTAGTGGTCGTCGCGGTTATATCATCCTGGTCACAGACGCTTCCCAGCTTTCAATTCCGTCGAGTCGAAAGCGCGTCATTTTTGGATCGAGAGAGCAGGAAGGACGGAAGGAGGAAGAACGAAGAATATGGGGGAAAAGGCCGCTGGTAAGCGAGGAGAGATAGGCTTGCGAGGGAGATGGTAGGAAGGGTGGATGAGCGAAGAAATTAAAGGAATGAGGCTACGGTACTTGGCGCCAAGATGATATTAGGGCGCTGGGCCAGGGACGGCAAAACTAACCGGATGTAGTAAATCATAGGTCCCTATACTACAGAGTATACAAAGCTGCACTTAATGCTTGTATTGAAACAGATGGCTACGGAGGATGTTGTATACAGCGAAAGGTCGATAGGCGCGAACCAAGAAATATCCCGATAGTATAGCCTCTCTTATTCGCCTCTCCTCGGTTTTCTAGACCGAGAACTAGCCTTATTGCGTAATTTGGTTGAATAGTGGACTTAAAGGGATGACATGTTTCGACCTAGGAAGTGAGTCGTAATCTTAGACTATGATATTGCCTCTTTTTCCTTTAGCCGTACGAGTAGTATATTCTCGTCCGACGTATACGTATGTTTTAATAGGGGGATAACCGCTATATAGGCTAAAGGTAGTATTAGGCTAGGGTCGGGTACGAAAGTAAAGAAATATACCGGTTTTAGACTAGTATTAGACTCGACCGTAAGGATAGTACTTCTATATAAGCCCTAGATAGTACTAGAGCGATAAGATAAAATAGGAACGGAAGATTTCGAAGGGTCGGAAAGTAGCCTAATTAAAGGTCTCCTTTTCTTCCTCTTTTAATACGGCTATATTATATTATAGGGGGTATTCTTATCTTAGTAGTCGCCGGTACCTCGACCTAAGCGGAGTCGCTTCTTATATATTACTATAGCGGCCCTTATACTTATCCTAGCGGCTCCTTATTTCTAGGACGTTAACGGTATAACTATAGCTATCGATAGGTAGCGTACTAAGGGTTTAGAACTTAGTATCGTTCGAGCTTAAGAATATTTTAATATAAAGCGAGCTATCGGTAGAGAGGAAGGCCTAGATATAGCTAGTATATCTTTAATAGTACTAGGATCTTTAGCCCGCTTAGAAGCCTTATTTACCTTTAAGTATAGATTTTAATCTAGATTAGATATCTAACTCGGCTCTAAATTATTTTTATAGTCCCTACTATCTAAACTATCTAAGGGCTTTATAATAGATAACTTCCGCTTAGCTAATTCTTACTAAAAACTACCTACTATAGATAGGTTACTAGAGATATAGTTCGCTTATTCGGGTATAGGTTCTAGTATAAATACGGGTATAGTTATATAGGGTATATACGATAGTTAAGAAGTCTCTATTTCTTAAGTATTAGGAATAGTATCTATAATATAAAAAAAGTTAGATAATAAAAGGATAATAGCCGAATTTCAATATATTATATTAGCTTACCCGGTAGATTATCTCCTCGTATATTAGGAGGAATAGGGTCTAGGTAATTTAGCCTTATAGGATATAGGATTGTTCTCGCGGAGTATATCGATAGTACTAGCTCTAAGAAAGCTAGTATAGAACTTCTACGATCTAATAGAATATTATAGGTAGCTAGTATATCTATTATTACTAAGGGTCCGATATCTTTCGTTATTTTAGTCTAAGTAGGTCTATAGATATAATTAATCTCGAAGTTAAATATATTCTACTTATAAGTTATACCGGTTAGTAGCGGTAACTATCCTAGAGGTACCTTATATAGTCCTAGATAGAAGCCGAACCTAGTAGAAAAAGACTACTAGAGGTATCGTAGTATATAAGCTAGGGCGTAGTTAGGGGGTACGCTTTTTATACTAATAGAAAGCGGCGGGCGATTTAGGCTATAGTAGAACTCGATTTAATTAAGATCTACCCTTATTCCTAAGAAAGTAATAAGATATAGCGGAGATATAGTAGAGATAGAAACTAATAGATAATAAAGTAAGCTTAAATAAGAATATAGTAGTTACTAGGCTAGTATATCTACGTCCGTTCTAAATTATATCTAAAGAATAGGAAAAGGAGGTTAGTTATCCTTTTTAATACCTAGGCGCCGCTAGGGTATTACTAGCTAAAGAATTATATAGTATATCGCCTTACGGACCCTATATAACTAAGAACTACGATAGTACTACCTCGTTAATACTATTCGCTACTTACGTCGGGCGATTACTTAAGAGTACTCCGGACTAATCTAGCTAACCGGCCTTATTAAAGGGCGCCTTAGGTTTATAGTAGCTACTATATAACGTTATAGCCTCTAGGATACCTTAGCTAATAATTGATAGATTAGGAAGATATTAATAAGAAAAAAATCCCTTAATCTAAGCGGTAGCCTATAATTCGCCGATTATATAAGCCGATTATATAAGCTATTAATTTTATAGATATTTACGATATCTTAGCTTAGCGTTAGACCTCCTTAAGGTATTTTTGCGGTTAGATAGAGAGCGGAAGCGGGTCTAGCGAGCGACTTATTAGCTATTCAATTAGGGGTTATCTAAAAGAGTAGAGGTAGCCGTTCTATAGTATACTACGTGGTATTCGTAAACCAAAGTCTAAGATAAAGAGCGACTAGTAGTCCTCCTATATGTTACGGACCTATCCGTCACCAATCAGTGGTAACCCACCAGGCACACCAATGGGCCATCGAGAGCCAACCAGGATATCTGTCAGTAGATCACGTGCAAGCTCACTGAGTAAGAGCAGGATCCGCCTTGAGCGGATCCACCCCGTAGAGGATTTCCGATATATAGGTTGCTCTACGAACTAGACAACCGCTGCTTAGTATTACGTGATCATGTAGGTAGTAGAAGGGTAGTAAGTAGATTAGTAGAAACCGCTAAGGCGATTCTACTATTCTACCATCTACTATTCTATATAGGAAGAACTTAGGGATATATAAGGACACTTATTTATATATCTAGTTTAGTTCTTCGTCTTTAATTATATATTGTTACTTATGTTTACCTTTTGGATTACTATAACTCTTTACTTGATTATAACTTGATAATACTTACGAGTAGACTAATACCCCGGTATCGATCTACTCGGCGCTCTACCTAGTATTAGTTCCTTAATCGCTTAAAAGGACTTAGGCTACTATAAGGCCCCGCGCGGCATTAGCTTAGTTAAGACCGAATTATTGACGTTAGACTATTCGAGGAGTATTAAGGCAAGTATACCCTAAACCTATCTAACCTAACTATAACTAGTTAGCTAGTACGTAATATATTAAAGACCGTCTCGAATTAAGTTTCGAGTCATAATAAGCAATATGTCTTCTGTTAGTACCGGGAAGAGACCCGTTCGGGAATAGGTTACTCTACCTATAGAGGACCCCGACTTTAACGTCGAACGAGATAATACTATTATAGAATAGAAGCGAAAGATTAGCGAACTTAAATATAACCTTAAAAAGGTTATAGATTAGCTTAGTAACTTAGGTAAGTAAAGCGGCACTAAGTTTAGCGAGGTCGACGACTACCTCGAGTAGATTAAGGCTTAAGTTAACGTATCCGTACCTATTAGCACTATCTAGGCACTACGATTGCCTAAGGCTAAGTTCTTTAAAGGAAACCGAATCAAACTTCGAGGATTCCTCACTTAGATAGATATATACCTCGATATAAATAGTACTAAGATACCTAATAAAGCCGGTAAGGTGATTTTTATATTAACCTACTTACGCGGTTAGGTATAGGATTAGTTCGAACCTTATATCCGTGACTATTATAGAAAGAAACCTAAAGAATAGTCGGATACTACGACAAATATCTTTAGCGAGTATCGCAATTTCCGTCGATACCTCGAAAATACGTTCGGAGATATCGACGCTATAAGAATAGCCTAGAAAAAGTTATAATAAATCCGATAAACCGGAACTATATTAAGCTATACCTCTAAGTTCTTATAAATCATCTCTTACTTAGATTAGCTAGATAGAGTATACCTTCCTTACTTCGAAGCCGGAATAAAATCCGACGTTAAGGACGAACTCGCGCGAATAGATTAGCCGGAGGAGCTCGATTAACTTATTAAGATTACGGTTAAGATCGACAACTATAATAGCGAGCGAAGAAGGGAACGATACGAAATAGAACTATAGAAGCGTAGAAAGATATATAGCTTTAACCGATTCGGTAGACGCCGCGATAGAGCGATACTACGGGACAACGATCTATATAGCCCGAAGCTAATAGAGTTAGACGCTACTTATAATAAGTAAAAAGAGCGTCGTAATAAGAATCTTTACTTTACCTACGGGAAACTAGGATACTACGCGAAGGAATATAAATAGAAGAAACCGTACGAGAAACGGCAATATATATAGGCGATACGCGAAGTACTACAAGCGACCTAAGAGGGAAAAGCCACTACTAGTATAGGTACTAGCGCCGAAGAAATAAGCGCTAGTTAGGAATACTAGGAGGAAATATACCCTAACGAGTAATAGGGCGACTTAAGAGGGTAGGTCGGGACCCTTATCGATAGCCTTAGATAGAAAAGGCGAGTCGCTATAGACCTAAGAGACGAGCTCTTAGAAGATCTTATAGGTAGGTACTAAGGCCTAGACCCGGAAGAGATAGTAGCGGGTAACCTATATATTAAAGGGTTAGCCGACGAGCTAGAACTCGATTATCTAGAAATCGACTAGGATACGG